TTTAACTACTGTATATAGTATTTCATAAAATGCTTTGTTGTGATTTATACAGTCAGTCCCCCTACTAATGCAAATTTTAGTTCTTTCTAGTTGTTTTTGTGAATATTGCTGCATTGAGTATTCTTTAGCCTAATTTTTGGTGAATTTTTACAAATACAGCCATATAATAAATTTCTAGTTCTCGTATTAACCACTTCCCAGTCCAGTTGTTTAAATACAGGATGACCAAAAATTGCATTAATTTTTCATTAATTTTATAATATAATGTAAAAAGAATAACAAAAATGACAATTTTTATCAAATTTATCTAGTAATTTTTCTGTGTACGGTATATCTGAAAACATTCAGTACACACTGCAACATTACAATCTGGGCAATAATATCTAGTCTCTTTCCACATTCTCTTTGCATTGTCTTTCTTTGAACAATATACTTCACACTGTACTGTTGGCCTTCACTTTTTTCCTGTGGGTGGTATAACTTTTAACAAAATGTCTGCCCACCAAGGGTAATGGTGAAGATGATGATGGACACCCTGGTTGGTGTTTTGCTGTCCAACAGTTTTCAATTATTCGGTCTAGTAATCTGAATTGTAAGTGACTTTTTAACTCCCTTGTTTTGAATAAATAACAAATGAGTTTTATATTGTTTGTTCCAGAAGGTGTATAAATATTTCATAATAATATTTTTCCTTGCTTTTTGATCAAAGGGAGCTTGTTAGATATCAGTCAAGTATGTCAGCACCACCCGTAGAATTTTTATAATCATTGACCACTGTTGCAATTTTTTTAGTTTTGTTTCTTCAAGTTCAATTATTTCTGTATTATGAATACAATAAGGAGATGTCTTTTTTGTCTTTCCATTTCATCACACGGACATTTCCACTCTGATAGGCTAACATTTCTCCCTTTTTCAGTTTCTGCTTTTGCAAATCTTTTGGCACTTCCTTCCTGTTCACTTTCAGTGTCCCACACATGTCTGTTTTGTATTGTAAAGAATGTTACTGAGTTTTGGAGAAGTATAAAAATTATATCTAATGTACTTATGATAAGAGTTTTTATGGATTGTAACACAAAATTATAGGTTATTTTTTGCAAATAAACATGAATTAGTAAAAGAAAATAATTAAAACTTAATAGATTTCACCAAAAACAAACATGAAAGGTAAATACATTGTTCTAACTAAAAGCGTATGCAAAAAATAGTCAGTGTAAAACAGACAAAAGAGTATCCCGTGCAAACAAGAATCAAGGGGATGAAGTGACACCTGCCAGAGCAATGCTTCAGGTAGTAAACATGTAAACAAATATGCTGCCCAAATGATACTCAAGGTAAATTGTTAAGTGATTAAGAATATCTGTTTAAAATTTGAATCATATTATAAAATTGTCTCCCGAAATATTTACATACTCACCAACAATCTGAAGGGAATCTTTGCAATGACTAGTTTTATCCAGTTTTTTAATGTGATAAGTAATGAGACTGGCATTGTTTTTATTTGAATATTTTAAATCTCTGATTAATTTATTCTTCATTTACTGCAAGCCATATTTGAAACCTTTTTATGAAGCTCTTTTTTTGGGGGGGGTGTAGCAGGTATCGAACTCAGGTCCTTGCACTTGTGAGGCAGGCAGCAGAACCACTGAGCTAAATCCCCGGCTGAAACCTTTGTAGATCGTTACTGTCTGTGCTATTTGTAAATTACAAAACAGAAATTAGCTCTTTGTTGTATGTAATGCAAGTATATTGTCTCACTTTGCCAGTGGTCTTCCAATTTGGTATATAGTATTTTTGTCAGACCAAAACTTTTTGACTAAAAGTTGGAAGTAGTGGCTCGCACCTGTAATCCCAGCACTTGGGAGGCTGAGGCAGGAGGATCACTGAGAGTTTGATGCCAGCCTGGACTACACCGTGAGTTCCAGGACAGCCTAAACTACATAGTGAGACCCTCTCTTTTAAAAAAAACAAAGAAAAAATCCTGTTGACTAATGAGAATATACAACTTTTTCAGTATAGCTTATTGATTCTATAGTGTTAGTATCTAAACTATAGTTTTCTTTTATATAAACTAACTATAAACTATAATGAAAGAGAATAATCCAGCCACCAAACTAACAGTAGTTAAAGTTACTTACTTAGAAATAAACAGCAGAACCGTCATAAAGAAATATTTTAAAACTACTGTACTGAGAAGGCAAAATTTCTTGGACAGGACACAAAAGCACTAATCACAAAAGAAAATTTGACGAAAAGGACTTAATCAGTATGAATAATTTTTCATTCTCAAACGATATTAAGAAAATGAAATGCCATAGAATGGTGGAAAGTGTTAATACTTACAAGTGCTTAATAACTAGTATTCAGAATATATGAACAACCTTTGAAGTCAACATTTAAAAAGATGAACTACATAATATAAATATGAGCAGAATACTCAGCCTTTTCACAGAAGATATTCAGATGACCAGTAAGTACATGAAATAATTTTCAATATTTGCATCAGTACTTGCAAATTAAAGTGGTAGTAAGGGCTGGCAGTGCAGCTGAGTATGTGCATATGTCCAAGGTCCTTAGTTTAACTCACACCACCCAACAAACTAAAACAACAAAAACCATAGTAGACTGTCACTACATAGTGAGATAGCCAGGAGAATAGCTCAATTTGAAAACAGTGACACCTACATAGGTATGAGGATGTAGAAAATTTAGAGCTCTCATTTGTGCTGATAGAACTATAAAATGGTAAACCTTCATGTAACTTTTTAATAAAGTTAAACATACTAAAAATACTATGTCAGGAGGTCCCCAAGACCATCGCTAGATTTCATGTTTGCTAGGGGCATTCATAGAACTCAGCAGTTAGTTATGGCTTTCTGATGTATTGCAGCAGGATGTAAAGTAGCTAGCACAGGAAGTTATTGGGGCAAAATCCAGGGGAGATCAAGTGCAAACTCCCAAGGGTCTTCTCCTGGTGGAATCACACAAGACACACTATATTTCCCCAGCAAGAAATTTGACAGTACTAGTGAAACGTTATGTAAGTGTGGCACAAAGTGGGGCATGGTGCACATAGAAGCTAAAGCAGGGAGTATTGCAGCCTGAAACACATAGAAAGACCCTGTCTCAAAAGACCTAAAAATAAATGAATAAGTGAGGCAGGCAAGCTTATTAGAGACTAAGTGTGCAGAAATTTTACTGGAGGGATGATCACACGTTCCTTTGTCTGGTACACATCCAAATTCTAGACTTCTGAAGTAAAGCAGTTATTCAGCAAAAGCCATACTGTTACAATGCACAGTTTAGGCTTGGGGAGCCACACTGACAAGATAGGAAAGAGGTGGAAATCCTTCCCATATCTAAGTATATGTCCACTAACAATAGATATAAGAATGTTTGTTCGTAGCCAAAGCTAGAAATAGCCTATGTATTCAACAACTGGAAAATGGATAAACAAATTCTTGTATATTTTGTAATATTATTTTGCAATTCAAAAGAACTACCTTACTGAAAAATTAAAAAACATGAATTTACCCCAGTGCCATAATCAAAACATGAGTAAATCTTAAAAACATTATGTTAAAAGAAACCAAAAACAAAAGAGTATATACTTATGAGATTCAATTGGTATGAAATTAAGAATCAGCAAAACTAATTTGTCATTAGAGGAAGCAAATGTGATTTCTGTGAGACAGAGAGAAATTAACTGGAAAATAGTATGATGGAATGCATGTTGATGGAATGTAAGTTTAGTGCTACTCTGTAGGGACTTTAGAAAAAGCTTTTGGGCTGAATTTAAAGAATGAGTATGATTGAAATGGCAGCAATTGGCAATAGAGGCAAAAGAAAGATCATGGACCCTGTTTACAAAAGCAAAGAAAACCATAAAGGGAAAAGATTGATCCAATGAGATTAGAGTTCAGAGCAGTGACGGTGAACCTTTTGGAGCTTTCAGTGATAACAAATAGCCCATGCATGCTGGAGGTTTGCCACCACTGGTTTAGAGTCAGGGTGGAACACAGTTACTATGATTATGAAGTCTTGAGTCTGAGCCATATACTGTAGATTCTAGAGATTCTCTACATTGTCTCATTTGAGTAGTGTAATTACATAATGTGCTTTAGGTAGCCAGTTCCAGTGATGATATGGGTAATGAATTGGGGAGGGGAGAAGTTGAATACTATGTGCTTACACTGCCCTTTAAATATACTGTGCCCTTCTCATTCTTTACTTGTCAGAAATCCGTGTCATTCCTTAAGTGTACCTCCCTTAAACACACACACTTTATAGTATAGTACTGCATTCTTCCTTGTAGATTATGAGATAATAAAGGCTTGAACTCTTAGCCTTTTCATCCTTACTTATATACAGGTGTGAATATGTTGTCCTTTTTCCATCACTCTCCTTCACTTCAATTGCTAGTATCTTTTTTTTTTTTTAAACCAGGGATTGAACTCAAAACCTTGCACCTGTGAGGCAGGCTTAGTGCCACTGAGCTGAATCCCAAGCCCAATTGCTAGTTTCTTATAGAGATAATTGTTTAATAAATGCTTGTTGAATTAGATACAGGTCAGTGGCCCACCTAAGAAGTCTTCAGGATCTAATAGTAATAGAGGATTTTGAAAAGGTTGTACAAGAGAAGAGTTAAAAATACCAAAAGTTCTAACTTCATAGATTGAGAAAATGGCAGTGTCATAAAGAATGCCCACACTTACCTGGGTGTGGTGGCTCACGGCTGTAACCCCAGCACTTGGGAAGCTGAGGCAGGAGGATTGCTGTGAGTTTGAGACCAGCCTGGGCTACATAGTGAGTTCCAGGTCAGTCTTAACTACATAGTGAGACACTGTCTCAAAAAAAAAAAAAAAAAATGAATGCCCACACTTGAGTAATAAGTCAGAATAATGAGGTGCCAACAAAAGAAACAAATAAAGGAGGTCATAAATCAAGCTTGAATTAAATTATTTATACCATCAGTATTTTCTTACTTTAATAACTTGTACCTTTTCATTGTAGGGATATCTTTAACATAAAAATTGCAAAATATGAACCTAAGAAGTTTTGTTTGTCTGTGGAGGTAGGTTTGTTTGTTTGCTTTTGAGGGGAGGGATGTTCGATTTTTGGTTTTGGTTTAATGTGCTGGGGATTGAGCTAGACCCATATAAACTAGATATATTGTCTACCGCTGACCTATACCCCAAGAACCTGAATCTGAACGCTTTTTAATACTTAACATTATGTAGATATACACTTTTAGAATGTTCTGTGTATATTGCAATAACTTTTAAATAGATGATCAAATAAAGAAGAGAGGACAGGTTGATTTTGTCCTGAGAAAATGGCATCCTGACAAGACAAAAGATCAGTACTGAAAATAACTAGGCTAAAGGTGGCTTTCCTATCACCACATACCAGATATGAGAGTAGTAAAAACAGTCAAATGGACAGTTCTGCTAGTTTTGGAGTGTGCGAATAGAGAAAAGAAACATTCTGTTCCTCGTATTCAAAAGAGGAATTTCTAGGGTAAATTACTGGTTTCAGTAATAAGTTTCATATTCTGTCCAAAGAAACATTTTCCCCCTTGGAGATAATGATTCATACTCTTCTCAGAATTTTGCTTTTGTGGAAAATAAAATGCACTCATAAATACAGCACTGTCGTTTGGATCTTAGCTAATGATATTATTGAGTAGACTATTAATGGGTAAGAACACTAGTATTACAAAGCCAGTTGTAAGAGGTACCAAGCACATTCTAATTAGCTTATTCTAGGAGGTGTGAAAGAATGTTTTTAAAAGAGTGATAATCTAATTATTATAATGTGGTGAATTATGCAATAAAAATAGGACCTATAATTACATTTTAAAAAATACCTCATCATTTTTGAGGGGCTAGTGTCACAAAGTAAATTTGTAATTTCCAGTATTGACAGTGGAGATACTTTAAAGGTGTGTGTGTGTTTTGTTGTGTCCCTCAAAATTGATATAAGATTATCAAATTACAGTCATATTGCCCATAAAGCAACTACCAAATAAAAGGTTATCAGCATTGGCTAAAGTTGAAAGTTTATTTCCAGTTTTGTTTTAACCTTAATTTTATAAAATGTAGAGGCTTGAATGTGCCCTTTATGTACCATAATTGATTCTATTACTCTGAAGTTTTATATCGGGATATTTCATTATGTATTTATCCCTATAATTACTGTTATTGGACATACACAAAAGTTTCTGTTAATGTCCATATAGTCTCCAAGCTAGGAACATTCTTTTATCTCATTTTAATCTTTGCAGTTATTACCTTTCTTGAGTACCTCTTTAGCCCCTTGAGAAGACTTAGAATTTTAGCTCTTGAAGTGCCCATTTCCAAAATTTCTTACATCTTCCTCTATACCATATTTTAATTTCAGCAAAAGTTAGTTGATGAATCATAGTATGTGAAGCACTTGTTGGATAACAGCCTAATGACTCGTTAAGGAACCAGCTGAAAAGTTTTCATCAGTAAGTTTTATAAGGAAGCACATTGACTTACTAGATTATTATAAGTAATTTTTAAATTCTACACATTGGTCAACTGATGTTATAGTGATTAATAAAAATGGAAAAATTCTACTTACTGATCTGTTCTTTTTTTTTCTTTTTCTTTTTTTTTTTTTTTTTTTTTTTTTTTTT